TAATAATAATAATAATAATAATAATAATAATAATAATAATAATAATAATAATAATAATAATAATAATAATAATAATAATAATAATAATAATAATAATAATAATAATAATAATAATAATAATAATAATGTAACATTTTTGTGGACTAGGTTTGCTGACTTCGGTTTTCCAATAATGGTGTCCCATTGGGCTGATGTAGGATACAGTAAGTACTTGGAAGACCAAAAAGGAGACAGGATAAAATTGGATCTCAGGGGAGTACATTCTGGAATTGAGAGATGAATAAAACAGGGCTTCGTATTGGCAGCTTGCCTCTGCCGAGTGTTGTATATAAAATTAATTTGGGTACTCTTGAAAAGTTCTAGTTCATGTTCGTTTTGGACCAGACTAATATTTTAATAACATTTCCTTTTTCCTTATCAAAAGCTGTTGATCCAGAGATCATACAGACAGCCAGTTGTTTACATACTTGTGCAGAATGTGTTTGATTACTAACAGGTCCAGATGTGTTCAGTATTTGTGTCTGTGAGTTCTACATATTCTGTTAAAACACTTCATGCAGTAAATGTTTCAAAACGTATGATTTTAGGGGACGTTTTTTTATCACCAAGCCTAGTTACATGCCCAACCCATCATCGCTTCCTAGACTTCATATTCTACTGCATAATGATCCATCAGACCATCCTGTTATAGCAATAAATGTCAAATAAAATTCCCCTCGTTGCAGAAACTATTTCAACCAATTGAAAATTAGTTAATGGTGCAACATAGAAAAAGATATATTTTGGATTCCTGTTAAATTGCAACTGGCTTTGCTAGGAAGATGAATTCTCAGAATCGAACAAAATAAAATATAATTAGTACAATTGCAGTTGAGTCAGATAAAGTCAGGCATATTGTGAATACAGTGGAAGTCTTCTACATTAACTATAAATTACGTCTCATCGCCAATAAAAAGATTGTGACATTCACGTTCCACATTCCTGAAACTGATGTGAGCTGCGAACTTAAATTATAGTAAAATCCTTAACAAATATTCGAAATTTCAAATGCGACATGCTCAGACGCCCAAAGAAAATACGAAATTGTATGCAGTACTTACGTTCGTGAAGCTGCCACTAGTGACTTGTCGTGTCTGGCTCCGATTCGTTTTATCGTTATTTTCTTTTTTATGCTACACGAATGTTTCGTTGGAATGTATGTCGATGTGTTACTATGGTTACTCCACGCCTACCTTATCTCTAGATTTATATAAAGTTCTACTGAGCCTGTCCTTCGTATTAAATTGTATATGTCTGCCTTGTCCCCCACCCCCCTTTCTGGAATGACATTTGTTCTGTTTTGTTGTCCTTTGCCCATTTCGTTAGTGTGTTGAAAGTCTCTTGTAGGTGTTCTATTGTTCTTGATCCGAGTACCATTCCATCTGCATACATCATTAGCTGGACATTTTGGTGTCTTTCCATATCTGTTAAGTCCGCTGTTGCGACGTTGAAAAGAAGCGGGCTTATCGGATGCCCCTGCAGCTCTCCGTTGGTCTGTACGAGGTGCGATCGGAAAGTTTCAAGACTGTGTCAATAGCGGGCGAACTGGATGTAGTACGAGCTTCTGCCTTTAGGGGGTGCGGCCTACATTCATAGTGAATCAGTGCGCCAGCCGGCATCATCGAATTAGCATTTGTTTCTTAGTTACGGGCGTTTTGGTAGTGCATTACACCGACCCTCCTGCGATTTCGGAATGGCGGGTGCATCAAATTTTGCCAAAGACTCGCCAAAACGGCTACGGAAACCTATGAAATGCTAAAGCAAGCATTTGGGGAAATACTTCGAAATGGGTCGTGCACAAACTTTTGTGAGGCATTC